GAAGAAAGTGAGAAAAGGAAGAGAGAGAAAGAAAGAAAAAGCAAGGAAGAAAAAGAAAGGAAGAAAGGAAGAGAAAGAAAGGAAGGAAGGAAGAAAAAGAAAGAAAAAGCAAGCAAGGAAGAAAGAGAAAGGAAGGATGGAAGGGAGGGAGGGAGGGAGGGAGGAAGAAAAAGAAAAAGGAAGGAAGAAAAACAAACAAAGAAAAAGCAAGCAAGGAAGGAAGGGAAGGAAGGGAGAAAAAGAAAAAGGAATCAAGGAAAAGGAAGGAAGGAATGAAAAGCAAGGAAGGAAGAAAGAAAGGAGAGAAAAAGAAAGAAAGAAAAAGGAGGGGGAGGGGGGGAGAGAGAGATAGAAAGAAAGATGCTAGAAGCTGGGTTCAAGCACCTCTCAGCATGTGCACAATGCCCCTTTCCTGTCGGGAAGGAAGAAAGGAAGGAGAGAGAAAGAAAGAAAAAGGAGGAAGGGAGGGAGGGAGAGAGAGAGATGCTAGAAGCTGGGTTCAGGCACCTCTTAGCATGTGCACAATGCCCCTTTCCTGTCGGGAGATGCATTTTCCAAACTGCAATGCACACCAGGACCTCAGAATCCGTAGAGGATCACGTCCAAGCTCCCTCCTGGATGCTGAAAAACCCAGATACCAATGTACTGTATATCAATATACATTGCATGGTCTCTGGCTTCCTCCAATGGCTGGTTTTGGTAGATACAACCTGGAAATCTATATCAATAGGTATTTCTGGGGGTGTTTATTTAGTATTTTCATCCAGTGGATAAGTGAATCAGCGGATACTGATTCTGTGGATGGGAGGGTCTTACTGTATTACCAACACTCACAATACTGTTGCTTCAAGAAAGGAGAGACAGACTAACCGCTGTCCCAGGATCGTCTGGTATTCAAGCCTCTGCTCCTTCCCACCCCCCGCTTTGACAGCATGCACCGAAGGCTCCTACAGTCCCTCTGCAGATGCAGGGATACCAGGACCATGTGCAAGATAGCCTAAAGCTTGGGAAACTGAGGTTTCTTGGAGTACAGCTCCCAGAATTCCCCAGATAGCCTCGTCGACTCGGGTACATGCCCCCCCCCGTGTGCTCACCATTTCTCTCCGCCTTGGCCCCCTCCTCCTCCGGGTCCTTCTGAGCCGTGCAGTGATAGCCTTTCTTCATCAAGATGTTGCAGAAAAGGATCCCCAGCAGGCCCATCACGCAGAAGACCGGCACAATGGCCAAGACGGCGTACTGGGTGGCGTTCTCCTCCGGCTTCCCGTCGCGGGTCCCGTTGGCCGGCGTCTTCTCCTCTCGCCTCTGCACGGCTTCGGCATTCCGGGCTAGGCGAGTCGGCCACTTCCGTGACCCTGGAAGGAAAAAGCATTGGGAAAAGAAGGCGTGACGCGCTGTCCACCCCAAACCCTCTGTGTTCCTGACCTCCCTTTGCAAGCAGGAGTGAGAGGGTGAGAATCTGGAGGGGGGACGCATGCCAGCGGGAAGCCATCCTGTTTCCTTTAAAAAAAAACAAAACGTGAATTTGACCCAACTCCGGGACCATCCCGTTTCCTTTTTTTAAAAAAAAATACAGTGAATTTGACCCAACTCCGGGAGGCAGTGGAAGGCAGGAGGACCTGGCGTGCTCTGGTCCATGGGGTCACGAAGAGTCGGACACGACTAAACAACTAAACAACAGCAAAGGCTGCTCTGTTTGAAAGCCCAGATCCAAGAGGTGGACATTTCTTTTTGTGCTTGTCTGCAAATCTTGGTTTGCGTCCCTTCAGATGTTAGGGGGAGTCAGGAAGTGAACAGGATGCTACTCCCTGCCTTTCTTCAACCCAAGTGTCCTCCAGAATGTGTTCAACTGCAAATCCCATCCTCCCCAAGGCTATGCTGGCTGGGTTCGTGGGAGATGGCCTCCAGGACGAATACCCAGGATGGGTGAGGCCGATGTGCCCTGTCTGAGTCTCCCAGCCCCACCTGTGAAATCACAAGACCGCAGACAGGTTCAGAAACAACCTGCCCAGAGAACTGGGCGTGATTCACCGTAATCACATTTTTTCTGCTTGTCCTAGATGTAATGTGATGCCCGTTTGGGATGAATCTACACAGGTTCACGAGTTCAACCTGAGACTGTATCCTATCCATAAATGGACAGGAAGAAGGGGAGACAGGCAGAAAATGGAAGCAAAAGTGATGGGTTGATCAGGAGGCCCAACTTTCCAGCAGTTCTCTCTCTCTCTCTTCTTCCTCCTTCTGTTCTGCCACCCCTACCAAATATAATCTGGTTTTTCTAATATCTTGCCGGTCATCGAGACTTGGATGTCTCTCCCCCGTGTGGATTTCTGAGACTGTTCAGCTGATCTATCTATTGTGTAAGGACCGGCGATCTCTGTCTTGTCCTTTCCCCACCCTGGCAGTTTCTCTTGCACGTGCACGGACAGGCTCATCTCCCACTCCAGCAATGTGGTTGCGTTGTCACATGCTCAAATGTCTATGTCAAACCAGCCCTCTGAATTTTCAGTCGCCATGGAACTGAAAGAAATAATCCCCACCCTTTTGGGAGGGTGTGGGTGTCAATCCTCACCTTGCCTTTTATTCTCACCTGAACATCCTGGCACGCCTTTGTGGGCAGATGCACAAGGCAGGCAGGCAGCATGGGGCTCTCTTTCATCTTCAGGGCTGTAATATCTGTGCACGGGGTGGGGAGAGGAGAATATGAGGTCGAGCCTCCAAGACACCAAGAGATCCCATCCCTTTCACCAGATCCCATCTCTCCAACCCTCAGCCCGGTGACCCTTTGGACCGAAACTGACCAGAACTTCTCACTGTTTGCTTGACACCCACCCTTTTTCCCTTGTAGATCTCATGACCCCTCGGCTCTGAAGAGGGGTCAGTTTTTGAAATTTCCATACGCAGCCCTCGTACAAACCCCTTCGCTCTGCCATCAAACCTTAACTTATTTTGCATATCTGCACCATTCTGGAAAGGTTGTTTTTTAAAACATATTGGACCACATGGCCCAGAATCCCCCCCAACAGCAGTGGGGGAATCTGGGAGTGGTCATCCATCTAAAAAAGGCTGTTTGGGGGCTCTGACACGTTCTCATGTAAGAATGGCCAAACGCGTGAGGAAGAAAAATCAAATCAGGCAGCTGTCAGCTGCAGAAGTAACTGTAAAGTGTATGAAATGTAAAATTATGTAGGGAGGGAGGGAGAGAAAGGAAGGAAATTAAGAAGTTGGAAGGGCTTTGGAGAGGTGAGATAAGGAAATCCCATTGAGGGGTAAGAGCAATTGGGCTGGATCAGGCCCAAGGCTCCTCATTGGGTCATGCTTCCTTTTTCCCACAGAGGCCAACCAAATGGCTTCTAGAAAGCTCGTGAAGAGGCCAAGCGCACTTATAACACCAACCCAGCTGTTTTCCCCAGAAACCTCTGCACACAGGAATACTGTACACCCTGGTTCCTGGATGGAATGTAATGGCTACAATCCTGTTCCACGGCTTCCCTGGTGCAACAGAAGTGACATAATCGGCAGCCATGGATTGCCTCTAATTAAAGAGTCCCTGCTCCGTTGGTTCTGGGGTCCACACAACATGCGTGCAATGAGACCGTTGCACACAAACTGAAATCAAAGCAGGGACTCTGCAATTAGCAGAAATTTACCCATGCTGGTGCCATCCTTCCCATTGTGCCGGTAGAGTGACTGGGCAGGATACCAACCATAGTTCTACTCCCAGTCTTCTAAGAGCCTTCTCCTCCTTCCTGAATTTTTTTGCAATGCCTTTTAAAAACTGATGTTCATTGTCCCCTGCTTCTTGCACCGTTGGCTGTAATCCAGGATCAATCACCCCCCCTGGAACAGCGCCCCGCAACTTGTGATGCTGGCTGGGGATTCTGGGATTGGAAAGTCCAAACCCTCTGGAAGGCCAACATGTTTCCGCTGCTGATTAATGCCATCATAAAATGTCCAATTCTTCAAATGTAACGGTTCCCAGCCTTGGGGCTCCAGATGTTCTTGGACTACAACTCCCAGAAACCCTGGCCAGCACAGCGAGGGGTGAAGGCTTCTGGGAGTTTGAGTCCAAGAACATCTGGGGACTCAAGGTTGGGAACCAATGGTTTAATGAGCTACAAGATTCGGGCCACGATCCTTTTGGTGTTTCTCTCAGGTTTCGGCAGCTTGCTGCAGCTTATTGTGGTTAACGGGCGAGGTCCCAGGGTGTGGGTCTGCTATGCGCCTGCTCATGCGCTCAGTTGCACAACCCAGACACCGCCCACTGCCTCCTCCATGAGCCCCAAGCAACTGCAGAGCGTTTAGCAAGCCTTCTGTAAAACCTTCGTAGGATTCTAACCTTTTTTCTTTTTTCCCCCTACTTTGACCCCAATGCTTCCTCGGGGGCCATCCTTGTTCTGATTTTACCCGTTGCTGCTTTCAGAAATAAGAGATCCCACAGGCAAAAACAGGGCAACGGGTTCCCCAAGCAAAGTTCTGCCTCAAAAAGGGGCTGCATTTCCGAGACTCAACTGCAAGATTCCTGCCTGCAACCGGAAGCAGAAAGTCAAGGAAGTAGAAGAAAATTGTCCACTTTTGCAAAATCAAAAGGCAGGGAATTTGGACGAGTCAGGCGTGGCTGCTCGTGAGTCAGCGGCCCCAACTGCGTGGAGATGACTAAGGAGGAATGCAGCCCCTTTTTCTCCCTTCAGGCCTGGAGTGAGAGGGTTTTTTGGCTGGGGTTCAGCCAGAAGTTTATGTTGACTCACTTTAAAATCCTCCCACTTTTTCCTCCCCTCTGCTGATTTCCTCTTCAGAGGTCAAGATTCCGGTCCTCCTGGTGTAACGAGGTTGCAAAACTCACCAAAATGACTGCTTTTCCCATTAGTGACTCTCAAATTTCTCTGCATGGGTTCGACTCACTAGTGATCCAACAGAACCCGGTTGGGTTGCCTAGAAATCGGATCAGAGCCTCAAAGAAGCAGGAACTGGCTTGCTACTCTTTTCTAATATTAAGGGGGGGATATAAAGCATAAGAGAAGTCACGACTTCTGCCAAGCCCTTTAAAAAAACACACAACAACTGGGAAGCAGAGTAAACCTCTGGCTACTACGGATTCCTCGAAAGTCAAGTAAGTGCTGCTGCTATCCTTCTCAAACTCTCTCTAGAAGTATAAACGGACGAAAGAGCAGCGGTCCTACTTTGGCACAATGTAAGAAGGCAGGGCTCGCTGGCAAAGGCGGGAGGACGAAAGGCAGGAGGAAAAGAGGAAGGCCAAAATATGAGAGGGGTTGACTCCCTTCAAGGAAGCCACAGGCTTGACTTTGCAAGACCTGAGCAGGGCTGTTAAGGACAAGGCAAGTGGAGGCTGCTAATTTGAAGGGTCAGAAGCAACTTGACAGGACACAACCATAGCAACACTCTCAGCTTATTCTGTTTGTTGCAGGAAATGGTGACTTCCACGATTTGTTGTTATAATTCATGCTGTCTGGTTGTTTCTGATCAATGGCCACCTTAATCAGAGTTTTAAGGCAAGTGAGAGATATTTAAGGTCTTTGTCACACCCACCCCAGTGAGTTGCCACGGTTGAGCAGAGATTTGAAACCAAGATTCCTGAGTCCCATCTCTGACACTCGGGGTGTCATCAGACGGATGCACAGCTGACTGGGAAGGGTTACGTTAATGGGCGAGGTCTCCCTTAAGAAGCGCTGGGTGCCTCAATAGCTTAGCTCTTTGGGTGCGTAGCCAGAGGTTCGGAGTTTGAATCCCCTCCCCCCTCTATGCCTCCTTGACTGGGGCTGGACTGGATGATCCCAGGGGGTCCCTTCCAGCTCTGCAGTTTTATGATTAGTAGTATTATTAAAGTGACTCATCAGCCAAAGAATCGCTGAGCCCGGTAGAAGTAGACGCCCTACAGCTGGGCCAGCCTGGACGCAGCCTTTGGTCAGGCTGGACCGTGTCTCACCGTGCATCGCGTGATCGCTGGGAAACCGATTACATCGCAAATTTGGGACTTATTTCTCTGTGTGATCACACCCTGAGACTCCTGGTACCATTTGCTGTTTTTTTTTTTTCCTGGCAAAGGAAGAGCAAGCGACGCCGGAGAGATAGCCTTCCTCGGGGGCCAAAATAACTTAGCCATGTTTGGATATTCTGCACCATGACCTGAGCGACCGGGGTGGGGGTGGGCAGAGGGGAGTGCCACCTCCCACTCTGCCTCTGGCAGCAAAATATCTAGGGTCAGCACGGACCTTAAGAAGGTTCACTGGGGAGATGATTTCCCTCTACCCCTCTCGGATTCTTTCCAATACAGATAGGCAGATTCCTCACCAGATCCTTACATGTTCACTCATGTGTGTCCCCCACCCCCACCCCCAACAAGTCATTCATTCTGTAGCCAAATTCACAAGGAAAGATTTCCCAGACTACAGAAGTTTGGAAACCCCGCCATCTGGCCCACGTGAAACAGCCTGGGGAGGGACAATGCGGAGCCTGAATAATTAATTTGCAAACATAGGCAGATTCCTCACCAGATCCTTACATGTTCACTCATGTGTGTCCCCCACCCCCACCCCCAACAAGTCATTCATTCTGTAGCCAAATTCACAAGGAAAGATTTCCCAGACTACAGAAGTTTGGAAACCCCGCCATCTGGCCCACGTGAAACAGCCTGGGGAGGGACAATGCGGAGCCTGAATAATTAATTTGCAAACTGCCCAGACAGTGTTTTCAATTGCTTTTAAAAAAATCTTTAAAGACAGATGGCTTTTCTTTTTTTTAAAATTCTATAGTTAGTTAAACGAAACCAGCCAATTTTGAGCAAGAAATTGTTTCTCAAATAAGACTCCAAATGGCCTGATAGAATAATAATTGGGTGGTTCCCATTTCTGCCCTTCGGTTGAATCTGACCGAAATATTGTATTTTTATGTGGATTAATTTTTTAAAAAAACACACACACCTGTTACACTTTAGCTATTTTGCATTATACAGTAGTGCCTCGCATAGTGATGATAATCGGTGCAGCAAAAATTGCTGCAAAGCGATTTCGTCGCTATGCGATATTAAAAATCCCATAGGAATGCATTGAAACCCCTTCAATGCGTTCCTATGGGCTTCAGACTCACGTTTAAGCGAAAATCCTCCATACGGCGGCCATTTTCGCTGCCCGGTAAGCGAGGAATCCGTCCCAGAAAACAGCGGGTGGCCATTTTTTTACCCGGCGGCCATTTTGGGACCGCCAATCAGCTGTTAAAAAATCATCGCTTTGCGATGATCGGTAAGCAAAACAGGGTACCAATCATCGCAAAATGATTTTTTCCCATAGGGAACATTGCAAAGCGATCGCAAAAGCAATCGCAAAAAGTTAATCACTATGTGATTTCATCGTTAAACGGGGCACCCGTTAAGCGAGGCACCACTGTATATTACATTTCTATACCTGGCCTTTTTCCTGCTGTGGCCTCTACCTGGTACGGTTGTTTTAACAGAAAAGGAGGGCTGTAATTCAGCAGGTGAAGCCGCACACCTGGATTACGCAGGTGTCTGTCAAGCCTCCCCCGCAGCAGAGAAACAGGGCTTCCACGGAATCTTGCATACACGACAGGGTGATGCTTCTCGTGTCTTATCTTAATTGCATTTCAGTCACATAATGAGTTATTCCCTGGCTTTGAATACTTGTAACTTTTTGGTCTTTTAATTTTTAATTGAACAGTATGGCACTGTGCGACCTAATTCTGGGAGAAAGATGGCAAATAAAATAAAAGTGTAGTGGCCGCCAGAACATGGAGGTTTTGTTGCAGTCAGATCTGCCCTGTAAGAGAACAGACAGCCAAGCGATGAAGTTACCCTGGCATGCAGTCCCCGCATAAGTTGTCCGCTGTGGCCGTCCCGGGGCTGGCACGGACCCTCTTCTGGCCCTCGCAGTGGGTATGCGCTGAGCACAGTTCCAGCCCATGGCTAGCTGAGAAGGAGTCGGCCGAACACGGCTTGCATGTCATTCCCCGTCCTGCCCCGTAGCCACATTTCTACGGGGGAAAATTAAACAAAAGATGCCATTACACAGTCTGGACTGAATCTTTTTTTCTCTCCAGCTGCATCTTTCTATTATTATTCTTCAGCATCACGTCTGCAAGGAGGGGCTGGACCCTCCCCGACCTCCGAGTCATTCTCCTCCCTCCCAGCCATAGAGACACAACCGGTTGCCCTGCCGTGGAATCTTCACAAACATTCTAACAGAAGTGAGAAGAGGTGAGGGTCAATGAGGAAAAGATGGGATTCTGAGCCTCTAAAGCCTAGGGGCCCTGTATCTATAGGTTTCCTTTCAGATTCTGGGGATACAAATTTGAACCACATGAGGTGTGTGCAGGGGGAATCTAATTCAGGCACACACCTATGGCATATTGGCCTCTAGGGGAATTTAGCTCACCCTGTCTGGTTCCGTTCCGGGGGGACAGCCTTCGCAAGCCACACAGTGTCCTTCAGTGCTCCAGTACTCCTGGCGTCCACACGCTTGCGCCCGAGCTTCATGCCAGCAGAACGTCTGAAAAAGATGGAAGTGACAGCCGTGGGGTTACATCTCTCCAGAAGGCCACAAGAAGAAGCATCATACGATGATCCATTCCTAACAACTGATGGATTGACTGATTTGATTTAAAATCTTTTTATTCCACCATTTCTCCTTAAAAGGACCCTTTCACAAGGAGGGCCACCCCATGCTCTTCAACAGCACCTTCTTTGACCCCCCCAAGTGGGGCAGGAGAGCTCAAGGCTGACTCAGCAAACCACGAAGTGCGCACCCCTCTCATCTCCCACACTTCACGGCTACTTCCTTGCATTTGGTGCCTGACAGCCAAAGGAAAAGTTCAGAATCCAAACGTCTTAGATCAGAGGTGGGCCGCGGTAGCCCTTCAGATAGGGCTTAATTTCAGATCCCTGCAGCCCTCCATAGCCAGTGAGGAGGGGGAGGATGGGAACATCAATCCGACAACATCTGGAGGAACTGTACATCGCCCGTCTCTCCTTTAGACAGAGCGGACTGACTGCTTTCAGATGCCCGTTACAACCAAGAGCCCAGAAGTCATATAGATCACAGAAGAATTTAAAAAGAACTCTTAAGAACATAACAAAATAGCAGCAAACTAGGGTCACAGAAAATATATCACATTCTTTTAAGAATACAGAAGGCAACAGAGATCCTCAAGCAAGAACCGCATACTGAAGTAAGAGAGAAACTCTTCCCAATGTGGAAAACTTATTTTTTTGAATACACCCCCCCCCCCTGAATTCATGGAATTACAGAATAACTGAGTTGAAAGGGGCCTAATAAGGCCATCATGTCCAGCAGGCCGAGGCCAAGAGGCCGTCTCCTCAAGCAAGAACCGCATACTGAAGTAAGAGAGAAACTCTTCCCAATGTGGAAAACTTATTTTTTTGAATACACCCTCCCCCCCGAATTCATGGAATTACAGAATAACCGAGTTGAAAGGGGCCTAACAAGGCCATCATGTCCAGCAGGCTGAGGCCAAGAGGCTGTCCTGGAAGCAGCAAAACCAGGGAGCTGGACAGGGGACAGATGGTATTTGTCTTCAGCGTGGAAGGGACGGTCACTCTCGAATTGGCCTTCTCAGCCACACTAGACGTTGTTCCGAGACCTCCATTGAGAGCACGTGACCCTAGTCTATTGAGACTGAAGGATGCCTAATACTGTAGCGAGAACTAGTAAACTGCTTCTGCACATGGAGGTTTCACTGCTACAGTATATCACAACGTTTGGTGCTAGCAGCTGAAGGATTCTAGCACCCATCAGACAAAAGAGTATTTTCCCCCGGGGTTCACAGCCACAAACTCTATGGCAGCTTGGGAGACAGGCAGCTACACAACATGAGTGTGTTTCATCCTTCTTGTCTTTTCCAGATTTACATGCAGACTAGTAATCTCAGGCATACTTCTTCATTCCTGTGAGACATTCCTGTTTCTTTTTTTGATCCCCCGTCTCTGTTTAAAGATCACAGCTGCCAACTGGCCTGCATACACTACTGGCTTCTCTATTTAAGTTTAGTGTTCTTTCCCCTCCTGCACTATCTATAAATACACTTCCTGGACAGAACAACAGATTCTTTTGGCCTGAACATCAGTCTTCAGGGTGAGGAGGACAGTCTGCCAACCGTTATAAGCTCAGCCGTTGGCCTGCTGCGTTCGGCATTCCCCAAGTAGGAATATCAAGTCACACCAGAAATCTGGACTTTTTACTGTGAGCATAGAGGAAGAGTGAGGCTCATGTACAGTATTACTAAATCAAATTCTGTATGCCCACTTTTCACCCGGGAAGCTGGTTGACTTTGGCGAGGGCGGCCTTGCTAACTGCGGCCGGAGCGGTCTTTCTGATGACAAAGCATCCAGATGTTCTGATGACCCTCCGGGCGGCTTTCAAGCACATGTGGCCAGCCAGGCAACCCTTCACAGCTACAACGTGACCCGCCAGGACAGTTTTGTCTGCTTGCCTTAAACATTTTCCCCACCCCACTCCACGCTGGCTTCGGATTTTCCCCTACCACGTGGCTTTCTCAGCCAAAAGTTTATTTAGGGAAACAGGGCGAGACCGAGCTACAGTCCTAAGCGATATTTAAGGACGAAGACGCCTTTGCCACTCAATAAAGCAGCCGCTCTTCTTTATGTGGTTCGTTCAAGGTTACCCTCTCGGTCAGACATTTCCAAACCCTTTGCCAACGAGAGTCTTTGTGCGCCAGGAGAGGGCGGAAGCAAGAGCCACGAGGATGCGCTTCATGACTGGATGCGCCTGGAAGTGGAATGCAGCCCTTTGTGGGGAAGGCGACTTCCAGCCACGTCTCTCTGCAGGTCCAGTTGATCCGGCGACAGAGTCTAAGCTGGGGGGCAGAGATGCAGCATGGAGCCCATGAGGGGCAGAAGGATGGGGTTTTTTTCAATTAGCAGGGGGCAGTGGCAAGGTCCGAAGACCAGCCGTCGTAAGTTTGAATCCACGCGACAGAGTGAGCCCCCGTCGCTTGTCCCAGCTCCTGCCAACCTAGCTGTTCTAAAGCATGTAAAAATGCGAGTTGATAAATAGGTACCACCACAGTGGTCCATGTCTAGTCGTGCTGGCCATGTGACCACAGACTTGGAGAAGACTTGGAGACGGGGATGAGCACCACGCCCTAGAGTTGGACACGACTGGACTCAATGTCAAGAGGAACCTTTTACCTTTACCTTTAGTGGTTTCCGCCCTGCTCCCTCTGCTCCCCAGTTCCTTGTACACCGAATTGTAATCGGCACAGGAAGCGAAAGGAGAAAGTGGGTTTCCCCAGCAGCGAGATCCAGAGGCAAGCAGGCTGTGTGAAAAGATGCCCCCCCTCTAATGAATTTGTCGCTCTTTAAAGTGCCAAAAGAGTGATTCTCATTTCTGATCTTGCATGGTGCTGGTGAAAAATGCTGCATCTCTAAATACAGCCTTTTAAAGTTAAGAAAGCAGACAGGGAAAAAGCATTGGTTTGTTTGAAATATGGTGTCGCAAGACAGTGTTGTGGATACCCCGGACGGCCAGAAAGACAAACAAGTGGGTCCTCGATCAAATCAAGCCTGAACGTTCTCTGGAGGCAAAAATGACGAAACCGAGGCTGTCCTACTTTAGGCACATCCTGAAAAAGCAGGATTCTCTGGAAAAGAGATTCTGGGAAAGGTGGAAGGCAGCAGGAAAAGAGGAAGACTCAATGTGAGATGGATTGACTCTCTAAAAGAGACCATGGGCTTGAGTTTACAAGATCTGAGCAGGGTAGTGGAGGATGGGACCTTTTGGAGATCACTCAATCTTAGGGTTGCCATTGGTCAGAAGCAACATGATGGCACATAACAATAACAATACAGTGGTGCCGTTCCGGATTAACCCTCGCTGTGTGAAAACATCGCTGTACGGATCAAAAAAAGCCATTGGAACGCATTAAACTTAGTTTAATGCGTTCCAATAGCGGCTTTACTCACCGTACAGCGATGTTTTTCCGATGGCCGGCAGCCATTTTCGCACCCTCCCCTCGCTTAACGAGGGTGCGAAAACGCTGCGCCATTTTGGGGCTTCCGGCGGCCATTTTGTAGCCGCCGAACAGTTGATCGGCGGATGGCAAAGTGAAGGTCGGTAAGCGAACCGCTTACTGACCTTTGCTCTGAGATTTTGAGCCATAGGGGCCGTTGGTGTGCGATCGCATTTGCGATCGCTAGAACGGCCCTGTTGTGCGGATTCGTCGTTCTACGGTGCACTCGTTGTGCAAGGCACCACTGTATTATGTTTAAAAAGCAATTTATTGTTATTATTCTTTGTATTGTCTGTAACAGTAAGTCTTTGAAGCACGCAGTGCCTATTAATTTTTATAATGTCTCTCTGTTTCTTTGGTTTTGAAGAAAACCACCCAGAATTGGTGAGAGGAGACCATTCAGCTTCAAAAGCTCCCCAAATGTCACCTTTAAAAAGAACTTTGCCAAAAAATTCAGAAAAGATGACTTACCAATAAAGTAACCTTTATCATACCCATTATATTACAATAATACGTAGCATTATTGCAGCCCTGTAAATTCCAGACGTAGCTAGTGAATTGGAACTATTTACAAGTCACTACCTCCAAGCTTTGATCAAATTGGAATCGGGCAAATGATAGGACTGAAACAAAACTGAATTAAAACAATTAATGATGAAGAAAGACTCCTTTAAATCTACGTTCTAAGTAGCCTGCCAGCTGCCAAACATCTGCCCTGGCCGAAAAGGTCTTTCCCCCACTCTGGTGGAGCAACAGGGAGGGCAGAAACCAGCCAAATCTCCCTTGGAAGAGAGTTTCACAGGCTAGGAGGAACCACCCGGCGTGATTTTAATAGGGGTTCAGGTTTGGGGCTCAGTAGTCGGGTCTTGTTAGCAAAGCCTTGGATTCAAACTCGGGACTCAGACCCAAAGACATCCCTGAGAAGCTGTATGCCAGAAACTGCTCAAGATGGGAGAAACTGCTTTTTTTATATAGCGGCCCTTAAAACGCCTCCACCAGCGTGGCACCATGATGGAGTCTTCAATGCAGAAAAAAACCCCAAACTTTTCCAATCTCTGGAAACTGCCCGGTGAGGCCAAAGACACGGCGGAAAGTTCTCATTTTGTTCTGCAAGAGACACTGTACTTACTACTGCAAGCAGGCTGATGATGACCGAGCAGAAATTCCAGTTCTTCCTCATTTTCAGGGGTCTGATTTCAAAGCAGCAGCAAAAACGAATCTGTTGGAAAGGGAAGAACAAAGAGGTTGCGTTACCTATGGGATGCTTGGCTTCTCTTCTAGAAATCTGGGGATGGGCTGCGGGCTCTCCGCTCTTTTAATGACCTTTGTTTACCTCCATCCCACCTACCTTCCGGCAGGAATGCTGTTTATCTCCCGCCAATTACAGCTGATTGCACAGGAAATCTATCAACTATGATTAAGTCCAAGGGAAAGAAAGGAGAAGTCTGTTCAAGGCTTCCTCTCCCGGTGGGAGTCGCGTTTCCCTTTTCGGCTTATTTACGTGGGCTCGGATGGATGCTTTTGGAACCTCAGCTCCTTCCGACTTTTAAAAACGACCTGCCCTCAAGCAAAAACAGACGGCCAGGATCCCCCCGGGGCCCTTTCTCAGTCCACTTCTCGAAATGGGCCAACCCGAGATGCTTCCGGGAAGGCCACAAACCTGGGAGGAAGGCCCCCAATTCCCACGGCTAGACACACATAGGCTGCTCTTCGACGTGGAAACTCCACGTAACCGTCAAGGAAAAGAAAATGCTTTCCTTGGTGGCAATTTCCAAAGGGGAGTCACTGTATTATTTTCTCTCGGCATGTTGGCAAAAGCTGGCTGGATAGCTCAGTCGTTTGGGGGTTCGATTCCCTGCTGTGCCTTCTGGGAGTCAAGCCAGCCTGGGTAGCCTTGGGCCAGCTGCACACAAGTCCCCTGAAGTGTCCCCAGGAGAGGGAACGGGAAGCGACTTCTGAGTCGTCTCTACCAAGAAAACCCTAGGAAGAGTCCTGGGAAGTCAGAATTGACTTGAGAGCTTAACATTATTACCGTACAGTATTATTATGTAGGCCAAAAGGCAAAATACTGTCACACTTTAAAGAAGAAGAGTTTTATTTCAGTGTGAGAGCAAAATCCACTCCCTCAGATCCAAGAGTACAAATACATGGGCCAACGAACACAGCAGGCAATTGGCAAAGGGGTAACAGTTTGTTAGCACAGGAATAGGACTATCAAAGCGGTTCATCATTTCAATCTTTTAATTGTATATCAACTCATATACTGTTTATCTTTTAATCTTTAACTTATTGTGTTTTTAAATTGTGCGAATGTTAATGCTGTGAGCCGCTTTGGGTCCCTTGTTGGGAGAAATGTGGCATCATCATCATCATCATCTCAACTGGCCTGCCCTGATGAGAACAACTCCTTTCAGAATGTAGGACCACAACTCCCATCATTATGTGTTAGCAGTGCTGACTAGGGGATAATGGGAGTTGGAGTCCATCTATTTCCCTCTTGCCACAGAATTTCCCCAGAGGTGTGTGCCCACAAATCAGGCCCCCGTTTATTTTTTTTCAATGCTCCATCACAAACCTAAACCAGGCCTGTCCTGATGAGAACAACTCCTTTCAGAATGTAGGACCACAACTCCCATCATTATGTGTTAGCGGTGCTGGCTAGGGGATAATGGGAGTTGGAGTCCATCTATTTCCCTCTTGCCACAGAATTTCCCCAGAGGTGTGTGCCCACAAATCAGGCCCCCGTTTATTTTTTTTCAATGCTCCATCACAAACCTAAACCAGCAAAATGCAAGATACGGAGGTGTGGAAAATCGCATGCTATGACAGACAGGAGTGAGACCAGCCCGTCTAAGAATGTGCTTAAATGCAGGGTGGTTTTGATTTAAATCAAGTCAGTCAGACTCGTAGTTGGTAGTTATAATCGTTAATATTTGCAACCAGATGACGATTTCATAATTAGAATGATAACCTGTCAGATTTGTAAAACTGATATCAGAACAGAGTTTAGTTTAAGAGGTTAATCACTCCTATTTGGTGAACTGCTTAAATGATTTTGTTTCACTACAAACAATAACATATAGCATGAATTTTCTTGTACTGTATTTGCTTAAACATCAATGTACTCATTGTTTGTACGCTGATTTGCAGGACAACAATGGGACTAAGGTCTTTTCCTGAACTTTGTTCATTTTATACGCTTTTTGCTGTGAAAAATGTGCACGTTATCTCAGCTAGGATAATTTGGATTAATTGAATTAGTTTACCAAAAATGTAAATTTTGCATGCATATACAACTTCATCATGTACATAACTCAGTTCTTGCTGAATAACCTTTGAGCTATAATATATCTTAAATAGAAAACTATCTCTTTTCCTGAACTTTGTTCATTTTATACGCTTTTTGCTGTGAAAAATGTGCACGTTATCTCAGCTAGGATAATTTGGATTAATTGAATTAGTTTACCAAAAATGTAAATTTTGCATGCATATACAACTTCATCATGTACATAACTCAGTTCTTGCTGAATAACCTTTGAGCTATAATATATCTTAAATAGAAAACTATCTTTATTTATTTGTCGTGAGCACAGTTTTTAGCTGCAGTACAGCGGTTTAACCACTGCGCCACGAGGCTCTTTAGATAATTTTCTTCCTTTCATTTAAAATAAATTTGCTTTAAATTTAAAAAAGTCTGATTTAAATTAAAAAATCTGATTTTTTTAAAAAAATAATCGATTTTAATCCACCCTGGCTAATGTATTGCCTATACTGACCCTAAAGACCAGGGAACTCTGAATAAATGATCTTCCGGCAAATACATTCATTGCCTTCCAGGAAATCCCAGTTTAATACCCGGCCAAAGCTCACAAGCAATTGCACGTATAAACCCATTCCTGCTTCCTCTCTACCTCCCTCTCCCGAATACTATATTTCAGCAGCCTAGTTTATGAAAGGAGAGAACCTTGTTAGTTATTGATGTTGTGGAAAGAAGAAGGAATTAGAAATCCTTGACCCGCAGCAGATAGCTCGAAACATTTACAGATAGCGCCTGATCCAAAGCCTTCCTTATTTAACTACAACTCCCAGAACCCCCTAGCCTACATGGCCAGGGGGAATCCCCTTGTGCAGTGGTTCCCAACCTGGGGCAACCCAGGTGTTCTTGAACTACAAGTCCCAGAAGCCTTCACCCGCCAACTGTGCTGGCCAGGGTTCCTGGGAGTTGCAGTCCAAGAACATCTGGGTGACCCAATGTTGGGAACCACTGCTCTAGTGCCTTGCATTCCTTGTCCAACACAGATAGTGGTGGTGAGTCATCCTAACCAGGGGATTCTGGGAGTCGTAGTCCAAAAGATAAACTTTTCAAAGCTCTGCTTCCGCTCAGCCTCACCCTTGCACCCTTGAGCACAAGGCAGGCTGTATATATTCCCTTCCGTAATGCTTTTGCAAATCACCAGAAATAATTTATTATCTCCATGCAAATGCACGATGAATTCTCGCTTCCAAAGTGAGGCTAAGAAGGAGACCCCCCCTCCAGACTGTTTGGTGGCGTCTCAGAACCTGAGGGATCTCAAAGGAATGGCGAATTCTTTTGCCCAGTCCCGTCTCCAGTTCGGCCACGAGTCCCTTTCCTTTGCAAAATGATTCTCCCTGCCCCTGCCACTCAAAAGAGCTGCTGTGCCATTTAGACTGATCTGGGGCATCGCAGGGGGTGGCAAGAACGAGCCACGGGAGGCTAATTGCCCGCAGAGAGAGCCTGCGACGGATGTAAAGCCCAGGATTTGTTTAGCACGATGGATTTGTATCCCCAGAGATCCCCCCTCCTACGGGTCCGTCCGTCACACTTCCAACATGACGGGCCATCCGTTGGCTGCCCGCATCGGCCCCTGGCACGGCCTGGAAGCGCCTCCCGGGAACGCGGCCAGGAGCCGGAGGCTTCCCTGTCGTAGCCAACCTACCAGATGGTTGGAAATGTGACTGGGGGGGGGGGGNGATGCCCAGACCCCCTGTGATTCCCCCCCCTCCAAAAAAAGAGAGGAGCAATTCTGGCTGGTGGATTTTGTGCCCCCCCCCCAAAAAATGTAATTTTTCCAACCTCTGCCCTGAATGCTCATCCCAGCTAGTGGCGACCAGGAGACTCTGCTTGCAGCGTTTCCACCAAGAATAATGCGCGGCGGATCCGACTCCAAACCCTTCATGTCTAGTTGAGTAGCATTTTATGATTTCATTCCTGGATATTATTCTTTTGTTAATTTCGTGTTGTCAACCACCCGGAGTGGCTCTCGTTGAGAGAGGTGGTATATAAATTGAACTAATAAATACAGTAATAAATATTTTGTGCAAAAAAATGTAGGGGGGTGCATCTATAGAGGACTGGGGAGTCCCGGGGTCAAACACTCGCTTCACCGAAAGAGCTCGCTGGGTAACCTCCCTTGAGCCAACCTTGCAAGGTGGTTGTGCCAAGGCAATGGGGGGGGAGGGTGTGAGCTGACCTACGTCAAGGCAAGACAAAGCCAGGTGAACCTCGCCTGCCTCGTCCGTCGCCTCGAGCGGGATGGCCTTAGAGGACCTTTCCAACATCATTTTTCTATGATTCTACGAGGCTACAAACAAAAGCAATACCAAAAACACATTCAAAGCAGTAAAGGCACAGCAATCCATTAAAAAAAACCCACCTCTACTCAGGCAGCCTGTCAGTGAAGGAAAGCTTGCCTGAAGAGAAAGATTTCCTTTGCCTGCTTGCGGAAAGAGAGCCAAGATGGGGCCAGGCTGGCCTCCAGTGGGAGGGAGTTCCACCGTCTTAAAGAGCAGCCCCCAAGAAAGGCCCCCTTTCCAGGCGCACCTGTGGAGCCAAAGAGAAAGGCCCCCTTTCCAGGCGCACCTGTGAAGGCGGAGGGCCAACATCTCCCCGAGTCCCCCATGCCAGCATGACCAGTGCCTTGACAACCTCTCCTCTGGAGGCCTATTTGTGATCCATCGTTTGCAAGAGAAACACAAGCAAACCGACCCTTGTGTGGGATGAGAAAACCCCCAGTCTCCTTCCTGATGAGCGGATTCTGAGCTCTGCACATAATGAACAAAGCATGAGAAAGAAATAATTGAAGAGCCCCCGTGAGCCTGAATCATCCTCTCCCAGAGGGGGCTGCTTTGCTGTCGGGTAGCCGGGTGGCCTCTTTGAGGGGAGGCTGCTCTCTCTTTGAAAGAGCTCCTGGCGAC